CCCTTCGGAGTAAACGGGCTTTTGCATCAATTAGGGAATTATTAATGTTTCTTGGGTATTGCTGAAAAATTTCGGTGTCTCGACGCGTGTACTTTAATATTAAGTTTATAAAAGATCTCAAGTTTGAAAATTCGTATTTTTTTTTTGTTTTTTTTTTTGTTTTTTTCTTTGATTTTTGGCATTTCCATACATCGATTTTTTATTTTTATTTTGTCTCTTGAAAATATATTTTATCAAGTGTCTCTTAATACACGATGAATCAACAAGTCCGAAACTAGAAAATACGTGGTTCCGATAGATTTAATTAAAAATAAAATTTTCCTAAATATTTCTTGAGGATCTGCAGAAACCGTGTGGACGAAGAGTAGCGGGAACTTTGTAACTCGGAGAAATGAAATGTAGAAACAGTTTTTTCTCATAACGTTCTACGCCCTGGGAATTGGGCGGGTAATTTAATATTATGCAAATGCAACGTAAACTTTTTTTTTTCATAGGTATGAGCTTTGTTTAGGTGTGCATTTAAAAAAAATATCTTGTCAGACCCATCCAGACTAGAAGTTCTCGAGGGCTTTGAGAACTGAAATTCTCGCAAGTACTTTTTCAAGTATTCCAATTCCAATACGTATACATATTTATGCAGCGAATCGATTTACAAATTTATATGAAATCTCAGCGTCAACGTAGACTTCTAAAATTATTCTACTACGTATTGCGCGATCACCGTCCCATTCAGAAATAAATCGAAATGCTCGTCTATGGCTAGCCGACACACCCTTTGTAAAAGCGAATTCCAAACATAACATTATACTGGAAGGACTGACGTCAGCTGCTGGAATAATAAAAATTTTGTAAATTCCAAACGATTGACATTTGTGCGAAATTCGATGGAGTTTCATGATTTTGAGGTAAATTTACGAATATATTTTTACCAACACGACCCATCAAAATGGGAGCATCAGAAATATAAATAAAAGCACCGGATCCTTTACCTTCGACCAATTTCATATCGCATCGATGAAACTACCAAAAAAACCGAGTAAAACTCTGTATGATCGAGCAAGCTCAAAAAAAAAAAAAAATTAAAAAAAAAATAAAAGTTAATAAAACAAAATATTTTGCAATAAAAATATTTCTATATGAATACTGTCAATATCATTTCCTACTCATGTGCTCATATACGCATATACGTATACGCACGCTACGTTTCGCATTGAAAATAAAAATATCATTCGATTTCCTATACAAACGTATATCACTTCCGTTACACCTATATATACTCAAGGCCTAACTAAATTCACGATCGTAACGTTTACCTAGCTTGAAATTTCGAAAACACGCGGAATTACCGCAACGACAGTTCTGCACGTTACTCACCTAATCGTATTGCCTGTTCGTTAGTCAAAGTTCCCACCTGCCACTCACTATCAGCCAAATCCCGAAAGCATCCCGTACAGTCTCACGAATATAACGCAGACAGCCAGAACATAGGAAAAGCAGCCACTTGGGTAAAAAGAATTTTTCGAAAATATCCAATAAAACACATTATCGTAAATATTTATAAATAGTCCAGAAATTTTTGCAGCAACAATATCGTCCGAAAATAATCAACGTGCTTTCTACGTTTAATAAACAATTATTGCCTGGACGACTGAACACACGTTAGAAGTTCTGACTTAGAACGGATTGGTAATTTACTAAGGTATCGTGGAAGAAATTAAAAAAAAAAAATTTCAATTATCTTTCAACGACACGACCTGCAAGAACTGCAACCCTCGACGCTGCTGAAGTGTAGGATAACACTTTTTTTTCCAGAGAATCCAGAAATAGCCACTGTTCCCAGCACGTAGGTACCAAGGTAAGCAGAGTTGGTCGTGTATAGATTTTAATGAGGCGCACTCCACGGCTAGAAACTTTCAAAGAATTTTAAGGCGTCTTGCAAGAGACACGAGTTACGATTACCGATAAAAAATAATCAACCTTAAACCTTCCCTTCATCAGGCAGCCACATTCCTATGCAACCCGTAACTCTGTGCACTTGCATTCACAGATGCATTACTAACTAAACAAGCTGTCCGGCTACAGATGTATAAATGCAAGTTGGAGGATGTCATGCATATCGCATGTATGGTGCATATGTGGTAAACACACCTGATGAGTTTCACGAGTTAATCAAGGAAACAGACGTAGCCAGTATATGACTAATAGAAAAAAAAAAACATTCAACATTGTATATAGATATATATATGTATTTTGATAAAAAAAAAATTTTATAAATTATATAATTTACGATTTTCAAAAATAAACAATTCGTATAATATAGATATAGAATATACTGCTAACATTGGCTCGATACGTATCCAAAATTTCTTTCAATTCCCCTATTAAGTTTTACGATCCAATTAGTACGGCTTGGCAGGAAGGAAGGAACTTTGATATTTTAATTTTCATTACGTGACCGTCGTCATTGACTTCGGAAGGAATATTGGCTATAAGGAACTAAGAATTCTATGGCATTCGGAAGTTCTTTTTCTTTCGGGTCGTTGTTATTAAGCTAATTCCTGTAATATTCATGTTTTACGAGTCGATTCCCAGGATGGATGGTTAATTGCGGTAATTCTATGTAATCTCATTAAATGTCTCGAGCTTGTCAAACGATTAATTTGAAATTCCTTCAACGACTTGTCGATCGAATACGCGTACAAGACGCTCGGTAATAAAAGTCGAATAAGTTACGCACGAATTATTGAAGAATTAAAATGTTTGTGAAAGGGATGAAAAAAAAATTAATTATCAGACCTCAAATGCTAAATGATCACCAATGCCCATACGGAGTTCGTTTTTTATGAACCGAGACAGAAAGAAATAGCTGGTAATACATTATTTATCTGCCTGAAAAATTTACATTAAAAAAATACATGAGACAAACTCGAACACGATTCACGATTAATTACTCCTTTTTTTTAAATCCTTAAAAACAAGGAGTTTCGTGCAACCGCCATTGTGAATATTTGACAAAGGTTCAAGACGTGAGTGGAAAAAATCACGGACCAACAATGTATTTGGGATACGTAAGGATATAAAAAAAAAAAAAAAAAAGGGAAATTGATTTATACTTTTCACTAAAAAAAAAAAAGGCGAGAACTGTGACATGGATATCGACATTCGATTTGTAACACGAACGTGCCTTGCATGGTTAGAACAAGAGAGTGTTGTAAATCTGTGAATCGAGGTAAACCAACAAGAATGATTTAACGCAGGATCAATAGCTCACGATAAGTTTGTATGTAAGGTGCGTGGATGTAAATCTGACGTAATTCCATAAATTGAACTTTACATTAATTAAGGACCCACGCGTACTCACCTCTGCTACCCTGCCGAACGATTTTAATAATTTATTTTGTATGTACATATATATTAGCGTCAGGCGTAACGTATCGTAGTTACTCATGGAAATTATTGTGGTATCCATGGCAACGTAACTTGCGTATATATCGCTGAGAACGTTCGCACTTTAAGGTTATACTTAGCATCAATAGAACAAGTGCTTGCTGGCTGCAAGTTCATGAATTTATGGGATGCTAAGGGACGAACACGGTGCGTAGGGAAGTACCAGTGACGAGAGACACGCACCAGGATCGTCGCACTTGGAAACTTTGTTAACTTAAGATTTCACTTGATGCGAACTTGTACGCAATTTCGTGGGATACAATTTGTCCCTCGAGCGCAAACAAGCTACCGTGTAGATATTAACGGAGGATTAATAATCGTGATATGGAGTGGATCAATGCGCCGAAAAATTTCAATATCACACCTAGATAATTCGTGTGATTATATAAAAAAAAAAAAAAAAAAAATTGAGGATCTCAAAAATAAATTTTTTCTATATTCTACGAAAGTTAAAGAAATTTCAATGAAACTTTGTTTATTAATCATAATTATTTCTATAATATATATTTTATATAATATTATTTCTATATATATATATATAACGATCACTATTATCCTGTTTCATAACTTTTTATCCGGGCTACATAAAGGTCTCGAATAAATACGAAAGGAACATTAACAAAGTCAAGGATCTTTAGCAGCTTGACTTTCCCAGGCTCGAGTGCTTTCTTCGATGAATGTCGCTCGCTTTCATTCTCAAGAAAGTATTCCTGCTTCGGGGAACGTTGCATTTTTCAAATTTCTTCGATATAAATTGTATATTTACAATTTTCCCCCCAAAAAAAGGTCACGCTATAATGGGGGCATGGAATCAAAATAAAAAAAAAGTTAATGACGCGAACAAATAATTTAACATACGTAGCTATATACCCGATCTGTAAGTAAAATTTATAATTAACCCGTGGAAACATTTTGAAGGAGACGGTATAAATCGATCGATCGTTCTTCCTTCGTGTTTACTATTTTTTTATTAATCATAGACGAAATCGTTGTTTGCCGATTCTGCAATTTACGAAATAACTCAAGAGAACCAGTATTCGACATGGTGATATAAGTAGGTCACAATTAATAATTAATGCCAGTCCCGAAAGCACGCAGTTACTCATTCTTTTTTTTTACGTCTTTACTAAAAAAAAAAAAAAAAACAATAACCCTGCAAGTTGACTCAACCACATTAGTATCGCATACGAAAAGTTCGATCGTAACGTGAACGATCGATCGTGACATCCCCATTGTCGATATTTACTACGTTATCCATACAGCGCGCACATATATTACGTAATCAGAAATAATAATAATAGCAACAGAAACAACGAAAACTTTGTCCACGTGAAATCGGTGAAGCAGGTATAATGTTGGTAACCATTATTTTCAATTGACAGAATATTAGGTAAATTTTAATCCCTCGGTACAAAATAGTATTAAAAATGTCTGGCGCTTATTATACGAATCGCACTTTTTTATTACGTGCAATTACGATTCCAAAATTATATTTACGATTAAAAAAAAGAAAAATGTTAATCCAAAGAATACAATATTTTTTTATCACTCACCCAAGTCGCGCTCAGATCGTCAAGTGTCGAGGAAGTCCTTCCGCGTGTTGTTGTTCTTCCGCACGGTTGTCACGGGTGCCGCAGTAACTGTAGTCAAGGGGAGGTCTTGACGTAACGACGGATTCGAAGATACTGTCAAGTTTACAGCGAAGCGTAACGTAACGGTACGAGAGCGTTACACGAACGTAACACGAAGTGCGCGTTAGAAGCCGCGCTCCTCCTCTTTATACCAGCGACCAAGTTCTACCTGTGCTTGCGCAGAAAGCGCAGACAGTGCAAGCTCATGCTTCATTCGAGTTTCTGCTACGAAATGACAGGATGGATTTGGCAGTAATGCAACACGTGATAAGCCGATTATAGATTCTGACAAACCGAATTGTCCTGAAGGACAATCGAAAGCTCGGGAATTTCGAGCTTTCGATGGGATAATTAACAAGGTAGATAGGAACGTGCAAGCATGTGGGAGTTGGATGTATGTTATCTTTAGTTTTCATGAAGTCAAGTTTTTTTGGACTTGTATGTTAAAAAAAGGTAATATTAGTGGAAAAATTGAAAATTTTTCTTCGTTTAATTATTATTTCCTTCATTTTTGTGCTTCAACGTTAAATTTTACCTTTCTTTCTATTTTCTTCGTCTCTGTTTCTTCTCGTCAATCGCTCCAAGATTGTTTTAACCTCAATACGGATTTCATTGACGTTTTACAACGTGGAGGGGCTCAGGGAAATTTATTAAATTCTTTTGCGTTGAAGTATCTGTTTACTTCCGGTTTTAGCGCGCTGACATAAAAATGTGGCTCAATCGTGTCTGCTTTCTCGTAGTGGATGAATGTATTACGTAATTCGAAAATCAAATGTAGCTTCACGTAGATATTACTTGAAAATTTGTATTCGAGTATAACAAAGCTTTTTCGTTTTTGTCGAGTTACTATTAATCGTACAATTTTTTTTGTTTAACCACGTGAACCATGTCGATGTCTTATTTGTTTATTAGAATTATTAGATTTACGATTGTTTATACGAGTATAGAACGTTATGACATTCGCACGAATCGTTTTATTAATTTTGTTAAATTTTAGAAAAAAATGTTCGAAAATTTTAGAAAATTAGAAAATAGAAAATTTTAGAAAAAACAAGAGTATACATTTTCGTATCTGCAACAAATCAACAGATTTATACTAAATAGCAGTGCTTTCAAAAAATGGGATTTAGCATTTAAACTCACAGTCAATCGAAGTAATTGTATATTTAATCAAGAACGTCGAGAGTTTACTAACGTTAATGATCACTTGACTCGATTAACCCCCTTGAGCGTTACTCCGAATATACTCGGTACGAACCGAGTATACTTGGGGTAAATACTATTGAAGTACTATAAAATAAAACTGCATCCTCAAATGTATACGGAATGCAATATAGAATAGAATTTACTACATTGTATAGAAAATTATATTGATATAGTGAAACTATATTTAGTACGCCATATTTTGAAGTATCGGTAAGAACCGTTAAGGAATCTTCAGTAAGTAATCTTAGATGCAACGTTCCTTTTGGTAATAGTTACGTACGAGGTTGCCACGTCGACGATGCTAACTCAGCAATTGCACAAAATTCTATTACTCGAAGCCTCCTGCCATCTTGTTTCTCTCCTGCCATCATCGAGTAGCTTGGATCGCTGCTTGACAAGAGAACCGCTTACATTTCAATTCTTCGTATCTGCCAGCTAAACGTATTTCACATCGTGTCCTGGCTTCCATCTCGATTTCGTTTTTCACAGTTACCTTCGATTCCTAAACTATAATTCGACTCCTTCGTAAATTTTTCACTCTTTGATAAAATATGCAAATTACTACGTAACGTTTAAAATTACTGGTACTCGTATTCGATAAAAAGCGCTACTCACGACGACATATATGACTACCAAGTGTCCTATATGTAAACGGCTTACCTGCCATCTACTGAGAGTGTGTACTTCATTACGTTGAAGCTTCCGTACTTGACTTGGAGCTTTTGTAAACGATCGAAGCATCTTTAAAAGTCGCATACTTTCCCACTATATATATATATATTTTTATAATATCGAAAGGATTTTACTGAGCTTGCAAGTAAACTAGGATCTGCGTTTGGTAGCTGAGTTAATATTTAGGTTGTATTATACGTGTCTTCTCTCTGATTACTGCTTGGAAATATCGTTTACTTTATATTGAGAGTTTAATATTTCAAATGGTTTCATTCTTCTATGCCTCTTTCAATGTATTTTATTCGTCGTGCACGTTTACGATGGTGTAATATGACGAGAGTTCAAATTTTACATAATTTCTATGTTCTTTAATTATGCGGTTAAGAATTGCTCCGTTAAAATAACAAAAATCTACTGCACTTTGAAATAACTAACGAGAGTAGAGAAACGACGATTCGCAAGAACCTGGTAATTTTCCAAGGAGAAAAATTGATCCTCGTTAAACCTAGGAAAAAGTTACATATACTCTTGCTTCTACCGGACCTTGATGAAACGAAGAAATTTATAAGTTCCAGGGCGTTAATTGGTTCACGGATAGTCGCGATAGCAAAATTCAAATGAGCCAAGTAACTAGAACTGTAAATGCCAAAAAAAAGATACGGTACGATGAGTATTACAAACTTACGTGATATCCTGGAGCTACCGTATAATTATGCCTACGAGACAGATGGGACAGGCGTAATCTTTCCTTGACAACATATTACACAACGATCCAACGTTTAATTTAATCGTTGCGTTCGGCACACAAAGTGTCAGGAAGCAGATCTGTGCAAGCTGGTACATATTATTATTCAACGAAGAAAATGATTGAGCTTATACCGGATTTAACCTGCAATAAGTGTAAAACTCAAACTACGCTTGCGCACTTATAACCTCCATAAAATTTTAAGCAGCGACAACCCATCATCGTTCTCGTTCCAAATCGTATAATAAAACTGTTAATAAGTTAAAAATGGCTTTTCACTACAGAGCACTCAGCGCGAAATTCAAGCCTATGAATTTATTCGGACACGTAAAATAAATGATTCAGTTCGAAGTGACGCAGCTGGTAAAGAGATGGCGCGCCGAGCGTCTTCATTGAGGGGGAAACTCAAAGATATGAAATTCACAGAGGAAAACACTTCGTCAAATAGGACCCTCCCGTAAATTTAAAAAGTTATTAAACTTTTCTTTATTCTTTGGGCTCATCGGATCCTGTTTTATACTTTGTACGTTGTTACACAGTATTCCAGTTGGCCGGAATACTAGATGCTTTGAACTTGTCACGTATTGCGCCTGATAATATCAACCGAAGTGGCTTCATATAGAGTGGATGTCATATAAGACAGTTTCTCTCAAGATTTAACCGGCCTCCGTAATATAACCTACGTTACAACGCGATGGGCAAAATTGCAAGACTCACAACTTTCAGTTACGATATCACCGTGGTGTACTGATACCTACATGTAGAGCTACACTTAGCTTCAGTTATAACGGATTTCGTAGCCTTTTTTTCACATTTCCTTGCCCTCTTTTCCTCTCACTTTTTTTCTTCTCTTCCTCGTTTCGCCTTTCTCTCTCGACATTGTATTACACGACACATTAAATAACCTGGCACCGTCCTTTCCTTCAAGGATAACCACTCGTACTTTGCCACGAAACTTCTGCAGGATATTCCTGGAGTGTAATCTTCATTATTAGATAGGTACTCCATAGCGGGTGACTTTTCAAAATTGAATTTTCCCGCGCTCTTCAGTCGTCCCTCTACAATTTGTGAGTGTTGGATGAATTCGAGGTCTATATACTCGACTAAAGTTTATTCATTGGAACATAAGTTTTACTTTATTTATTATTGTAATTTTCACATGGTGAAATATGAAGATACGTTGATCTTGTTTTTTTTATATAGATTCATTCATTGGCTTATATTGAAATTTGAATATAACAGTTAATCTGAAATTACATAGAAATTTTAATAATTGACTAATCATTATCAACTATTTTTATGAAAATTAACGATGACTTCTGCGTCTTGACCGCAAAATTAATCCGGATTTATAAATGTCGGCTTAAGGGACTCAGCCAGTTACAGGAAACCATAAAAGTAATGAGGCTTAGTAGATTTTCTTAAATCGGCAATTGTAAATCCGGCTTTATTGTCCAGTAGAAGGGAGGTTGGTTGTATTGGGAAAAATACTTATACGTACGTAATCTATTTATCCGCATATATATAGCGATAATATTATTATGGTATTTTCGAAATCTCCGAGGATAAATGAAGATCCAAGACTTTTCCGGTCACTTGTTTACCTCAAGATTGAGACTAACTCATGAAGATCTTTCCTCAATTGGATATTTCCCGGTTCGGTAACTTTTGCTGTGGACAGAAAACGATTCTCGTAATTGAGTTACATCCTAATGGTTCAGTGTACCAATTTGATTTCTCAATGATCACTGCCTTGGATTTAATCTGACATATTCTTAATGAATATAAAAAATTATAATGTTTTATGACACAAACTTCCGATCATTTCGTTTCTACCCCCGATTATTACTGAAGATTGATAAGATTTTTATTTTGGTAACAATCAGAACATTAATTTTTTTTTTAAATGTGCTACTTTTGATCAAGCTGCATACCTACACGTGCAGCATGAAATTGCATCTATATTCGGCATAATAAAATTCTGTAAACCGAAAAAGTTATGAGACGGATATACAAATTATTGAAAATAGTATGATAGCGCCATCCCTGGAGTGTGCTTAGGGCGGCGAGATTGTATTAATTATGCTCAGTCGGAAAGGCACCTTTTGGTAATACAATGTTTTATTAGGAGTACGATCATTGCAGTAGTATCACAATAATTCAAAAAGGTTTATTACAATTATTATTTAAATGTACTTATTATAATAATAATTCTGATTTAATTTATAATTAAGATATTTTGAAAATAATCGATAACAATTGACATTATCCTTGCAGTAAAAACACTGGATGCGCGTTTGATATTTTTAGGATTAGATGAGATAACATTATATTGACAACAGAGGATAAAATCATTTTTAATAATTGTACGTTCAAAGCATTCAATGGTGCTACTGTTCCTAACAGACTAAAAATAAAGCAGAAGATAAACTCTTGCTGTAACCGTTAACTGTCATATTGTCCATGCTCTTTTGCAGCATAAGAGAGTTCAAACATGAATCGATAGATGGCAACACTTCCACCTCACCAAAAATGCTCCATTCAGACGGTAAATTATCTATGCTTTGGATAAAACAGCAAAACCTCCTGGTTCGTAAGTTGAATATTATAGCTAGATGTTACAAAACTATAAGGATGTGTGTAGATAGCTAATTAATTAGAAAAGAGAATCTGCATGAGAAAATAATGACAAAGGCAGAGAAAACAAATTGAGCTTTTGAATGGTATAGATCATTTCAGCATTTTGGATCGACAATTAGCCAGGCTTTTAAGACGAGGGTGGCAGCTCGATCGACGAGCGTCTTCATCGGCGACAACGCAGGAGTTTCCCACCACTGCAACTGGTAGACGTAGCGCCAGCGCGCGCTACTCGTAAACACGCCGCCATCATGCTATAACGCCATAACGCTGTTATGCGAGATTCTGTTCGGTTCAGAGTAAACATTCGTCATAAATAGTGCTTGAGGTGTATAAAAATAGTGTGGTCATCACAGTGGGACACCTTCCTCAATATTTCCTCGTGGTGAGTATCCGCGTAAACACGTGTACAATTCTTAAGCATTTTAATTCCACTACTACCGCTCCTGATGCTTCTGCTTTTGGTGCTGCTGCTAGTGGTGGTGCTGCTGCTGCGGTTGATGATAATGATGATTCTTAGCTTCTTCTCACTCCAATGATGCAGCGATAGGAGTAGTGGCGATGATAATGCTGGTACGCGCGAGTCATTTCCTAGCTCCGTCAAAGGGAGAGAATCGTATGCTTTACATTCATGCGAAATCCATCCCTCCCTAGTTACTAGTTGGGGCGTCGGCTCAACAAGCCAAGATGCTTTCCCGGTAAACTTCGATTAGCTAATTACCTGATTTACCTGTGAAATTTGGCGTACGGTGCAGAAAATCGAAGATATTTTATTTCCCTCATTGTGCGAACGCTGGATCGATCTCGGCGATAAGGATGCGTCAGGGAATGAGAAGACAAGATCGTGAGAGCTGGAGAGTGTGTGTGAGCGTGAATGAGTGCAAGTTGAATGCGATTGTTGTTGCTTTCTTTTGAAGAGAGAGGGAATCGAGTGAAAACAATGCTCCGATCGGCAGAAAGCCATTACTTGCCTCCTTTGATCGTCAATCACTGTGGCCACCTTTGCTTTTAACTTTTTATTCTTTATTTCTTTTTCATATCTCGCTCAGGTCTTCTTTCTCTCTCTTTTATTCCTTTTTTTCTTACTCTTACTCTCCCTTGATCACACTTAGTCACTCTTGAAACTGATCTCGATCTTCCATCTCTGTTTATGCGCCTCTGTTCTTAGTTAGACTATCTTTCTTGGTGTAAAAGAATTTGCGCTACACAAACGGAGCAATAAAATGTCGTAAAGTTAGAATGACGTGGGATTTGTATGACATACCTACTGGTATAACCTAAGACTTTCCTTCGATGGCTTATCAGTAACGTATTGCTGTTGAACAAGTTAGTCTTTAACTCTTCTGTGTGTCAGAATTGTTTTCTGTGCAATCATAGAAATATCGTATCGCTGTACTGTGTTATGGAATGTAATTTGTAGTCAGCGTTATCACTGGAATAACTAATTTTTGTGAGATTTATCAAAGTTTATCTTGTTTCAGTAACTGGATGCACGTATCACATTATAAAGCATCATCGATCCATTGACTTCAACGGATTCTTTAAATATTAATTCAACGATGGATGATGACGAAGGATCAGCCAGCTCTGGACCTATGTCTTCGTTAAATAGCTTGTTTTCATTTACAAGCCCTGCAGTGAAGAAGCTGTTGGGTTGGAAGCAAGGTGACGAAGAGGAAAAATGGGCTGAAAAAGCTGTAGACTCCTTAGTAAAAAAATTAAAAAAGAGGAAGGGTGCTATTGAGGAATTGGAACGGGCACTGAGCTGTCCTGGTACACCCAGCAAATGTGTCACAATTCCAAGAAGTTTAGACGGCAGACTTCAAGTTTCACATAGAAAAGGATTGCCACATGTCATTTATTGCCGTGTCTGGAGGTGGCCAGACTTACAATCTCATCATGAACTCAAACCTCTTGAGTTGTGCCAATATCCATTTTCAGCGAAACAAAAAGAAGTTTGCATCAATCCGTATCATTATAAGAGAGTCGAGAGTCCAGTACTACCACCAGTGCTAGTACCAAGACATTCTGAATTTGCTCCTGGCCATTCTCTGCTACCCTTCCAGCAACTTCCAGAGCCATCTATGCCACACAATGTTTCCTATTCGTCAAGTGGTTTTAACGCTGGATCAACCACAGGCGTCAACCCCACTTCGCCAATGTCCTCCGTAGGCTCGGTAGGCTCTGTTCCTAGTCCTGGAAGCACAACGTCACCAAATCCTCAAAGTCCTTACGGTACAAACGGACTGCCAGAAACACCACCGCCAGCATACTCGCCACCAGAAGATGGTTCCCAGCATGGTCAATCTCCACCACCGGATCCAGCAGCAATGGATACGGCTGGATCAGCAGAGGTCGCACCAGTTTGCTACCAGGAACCTCCTTATTGGGCCTCAATCGCTTATTACGAACTGAACTGTCGAGTTGGCGAAGTCTTTCACTGTCAATCGCACTCCGTCATCGTGGACGGCTTCACAAATCCCAGCAATAACTCTGACCGGTTTTGTCTTGGTCAACTGTCGAACGTGAACAGGAACTCAACAATCGAGAACACGAGGCGGCACATAGGGAAGGGCGTCCATCTCTATTACGTGGGGGGAGAAGTGTACGCGGAATGTCTTTCGGACTCTGCAATTTTCGTTCAATCAAGAAATTGTAACCATCATCATGGATTTCATCCTAGTACAGTGTGTAAAATTCCTCCCGGATGCTCTTTGAAGATCTTCAACAACCAGGAATTTGCCCAGTTGTTGTCCCAGAGTGTGAACCACGGATTTGAGGCTGTTTACGAACTCACCAAAATGTGCACAATCAGGTAAGCTCTGCATTCCTTGAATATCTGTAATGCTTTCATCCTCTCTTCTATCTATGATACCTTTAGTAACTTCCTTTACTTTTTTTTTTCATAGAATGTCCTTTGTGAAGGGCTGGGGTGCGGAATACCATAGACAAGACGTCACTTCAACTCCATGTTGGATCGAGGCTCATCTTCATGGTCCTTTACAGTGGTTGGATAAAGTTTTAACGCAAATGGGTTCACCGCACAATGCCATTAGTTCGGTATCCTAAGTGACACCTGTACTAACTTTTGGTTAGTATAGACCTAAATAAACTGAAAGTAACTCTTCGCGTCGATCGTAAATTAGGGCAGGTGGCAGCACAATCCACATCTCTATTTTACCGCCAAGCGCCAGGGTCAAATGATGATATTTTACGGCAATCCTCGATAATTTAATAAAAGACAGTATCTACATAAGGATACGTCTGACATTAGTCGCGGACAGAGACTCGGAAAGGCCGATACGAGTGCAAATTTAGATATAGGGAAAACACGACATTTAATCATCGACTAATTAAAAACTCATCATCATCACGTTCGATGATCTTTCTATTGTGTACAGAAACAAGCCGTACACCTTTCGGCCTCTCATTTAAGAAGAAACTTACAATAGATAATAAATTACATTGCGCATATTGAGAAATATTTTTAAATCTAATTGTCTTTCGTCATATTTTACTGTACGGTTATTCAGCTCAAACGCACCAACCGAAATTAGCCCGAAAATTTAATTCCCTATGATAAAGCCAGCTTCGGTTGGTGCATCTTAACTGAATGAGCCAACTTACGCATATGTATTGTGATGGGCTTTTTTTCCATGTTGCACCAATGCACAATCGGCGACTGATGCACTCAAGGGTCGCTTGTGGGTTAAGTGCTTTTTGACAACATTTTTCATTACTAGTGCCACTCTCTTATAACCAGCGACATACCCGCGAAAGAAAATTATGGCGACATTAATCCTTTCCAAAGGACGGTACGAATTAAATAATTCCTGCGACGCGCACTGCGACTCACGAAGACAATATTATGGCGTCCAGATTAAGACTGTTAGCTGCGGGTACTGCATTTTCCCGGTCTTCCCAAATATTCTGATAAGCGAATTGTCCTACTAGTTAATCGCAATACCGTACCTTTTACGCTTATACTTGCAACTCTATTGTTCTCTTTCACTTCTATGCTACTCATCCTGACTAGACTCTTCTCAGGATCTATCCCATTAACCTAGCATATTTTATCGTTACAAGGGGAATCGAACAAAGTCACCCTTGAGTGCTTAACCTGGGGCCCATAGCCTGGAAGAAGAGGCGAATTGTCAGGTTGCCATTTGGCGTACGTCACAGTATATATACAATTATTATGCGGCCTGTCAGTGGATGTACGTGCAAACTCGTCGCTGTATTAAGATTGCCTTGTTAATACCCTTGAAAGTATAGCGTAACAAAGATATAACGTTGGCGTTAAAAAGTCTTGAAAGTTCGGCCCGGGAAGCATATTTTGATTTTCCAAAAAAAAAAATTGACAAAAATTATTAATTATAAAATTTTAATTTCCTTGATGGAAATCATACGATTGAATCCTAGCATTTGTGATGCCTTATGTGATGCGAATAGGGATGCGCACACGTACTGCCAGCGGAGTCGCATCCAAATTATTGTCGTTCGCGCGACATCAGCTTCCCGGCCAAACACGGCCTTAAAAAAAAGCTAGCGAACAGAGATATAAAAAAGAGATATATACGTATGTACATACATGGAATTTACAGGGCTATTCGGTTCAAAAGCACCGTCAGCGCTTTGTAGTCCACGTGGAATCGTCTGACAGCTGTCAAATCTGACAGGTGCATTTGAATCGGATAACCTTTATAAATAAAAGAAAAAAGAAGAAGAAAAGTATGAAAGTTTTAAAATAAGTTCGCAATGCGCAATGCTTTGGACCATTTGAGACAATACGTTGATCCAAGCGAATTTTAAACGCTTAGACAAATCGAAGCCTTCATTAGATCTAATGAATATATATGTTAAACTCGTTTCTTCTTTTTTTTTAATTATCTTTTCTCTCTTTATGTGATCCGTGCAAAGTGTCAATGCATAAAACTCTTGGACGCCGATCTCACGTTGACAGTGAACGATATGAAAAAAAAAAATAAAAAAATAAAAATAAGGAAAACAAAAAATAATTGTACAAAATGTCAACTGCGTCCATTACGATACGCTGATGCGATCCTCTTCAGCGTGAAGACAAAATTAGATATAGTTTCTGTCATACTTAAGATACTCTGATTCTGTACGCCACAACGTGCGCAGCGTTATTTCTTACTTGCCGTGTATCGATCGCGAGCGCATCGTGTCCTGGCGAATCCGATTTTTATGCTTTAGCAAACGACAAAAAGATAATAATTAAAGAGAAACGAGACGAAGTCGGATGTGGGCGAGAGGAGAGGAGAGACGTACACGGGGTACCAGTACTCTTGGGATAACAATGCTCTTTACGTCAAAGCATATTTTTTTTTATTTCCCCAGTCTACCCCTCTCTCCCCCACTCTCTTCTTTCTCTTTTCTCTCACTCAAAATCTCTTGTAAACATTGCATCGAGTTACGTGTACATAAAGTACGCACGTGTGTATGTACGTATGACTGCTTGCGTGTATGTAAGTTCCGGGTGTTTTAGAGAAAAAGAAAAAAAATCTATATTCGTGGCAATTATACAATAATAAACCGAGGAACGAATTACGTGCCGTCTGATGACGATTTCAGTTTGCCGAATTTTATACCCAGCTGCGATTCTTCTTTTTCTATTTTTAAATCCAATTATACAAATTGCATCTCGTCCTTGCCACGCGATCATTTCCAGAATTAAGCAATGACCATTTTTACACGGCGATCGTATAGCTTCTCAAATCGACGTCGATCGTCCTGATAACCGGTTCTACGAGGCTTCATTTTATCTACTAATTCATGATTCTCGATCTGTATATCAATTTAATGACTGTGACAGCAATTTTGATTGAACAAAGGAATAATCGATAACATCTATAATGTAATTAATAGCAATGCCGTATATAATTTATGTGAAAAACCCGTCTATTGCAGTTTCAGGTTTACGCGATACTCGTAGAGCGATTGAGCTAGACCTTGCGGACGATCAAGTTGCGCACTAAGGATAGACGTCTGTCGTTGCGACCCGTATCGCAAGGTTACGATTACGATTTTTCCTTATTTTTTATTGGTTAAGTATATTCTTGGGAGAGAGAGAGAGAGAGAGAGTCAGTCATTTATAATCAATTGATTTTATTTTTCCGATACGTGTCAGCGACGTATTGAAAACTGAAGACTATAGGTTATAAATCTTGACAAAAAAAGAAATTGACTATTATCAGTTCTGTTGTACAGAAATTTCGCTCACGCTGTTTCTTCAAGATAAACGTACACCTGTGTACGCAGCCACGATATTGTAATTCATTCCACGCGATAATTTTCTGCAATCTAGTCCGTCATGTTCATAAATTTTCTATCCGCTTTATTAGATCTCTGCTGTTAAGAGTTTCAGTGATTTCTATTGAATTGATCGTTTGAGTTGTGGAAGGAAGTTTTATTATCGGCTGATAATATTACGGATAATACTCTCTTCTGGTAAGCACTGGTAATATTTGGTAACCACTGATTCTGTCTTATTTGCCTATCGGCTATAGGAATAAAAGATAAAAGTGCCTAATAAGCAACGTATATATGTGTATAGGCATCTTCTATCCCTCACGATCATTCGCTCGTTCCTTCTCTCTTTCTTTTTCTGCTTATCCCCCCCCCAAAAGAGACGGCTGCTTGTTTTCCAGCGTTACTGTGACATTTGAAAGTTAGTACGTCCAGTGTGATTTTAAATCATGGACATCCGCGTGAAGAAGAGAAAATTGGTGAGTACCGTAGTTGATTATTTATATATATTTTATTTTCTTGAACGATACTCTAAACTCTCAAAGTCCATCGTTGACGAACGTGAGAAAGTTTCCAGGTCCAGCGTTAAACGGCTGTTAACGAGAAGGAACTTCAGAGCTAAGTAGACATCGCCTTCTCTTCCATTATCTCACGTATCCTCAGAATCATTCAGTCTAATGACGTATGAAGTGTCTTGATTAAATTCTTCCGTGTATTTACGTTCTCTCTTACGCTTTTTCATTCGTTAGGCGAGGCAACGACGGCGCTTGGAATTTCTATATTGTTCGCCTTCTCGCTTTAAACGACCGGGTACCTTCTTCTCTCTCTTTCTGACTCTTGAGCCGATATCACGGCGAGTTGCATAAACTGTAAACATAAGATCTCGTTGAGAGTCTGATAGTTATCCAGGCGAGTCACACTATTCGTAAGGCATTGCGTCATGAAGAATTTCAACACGTGGCATCATAAAAGTTCGTAATCGTGAAATACATCGATATCACGTGTTTAAGGTTGAAAAAAATTCGACATTTTCATGGTTATACATTCTCCGTTCCTTTTCGTGAGCTGACGCTGACGGTTTGTCGGCCTGGCAGTTCCGTACGAACGCTTCGCGTGTTTATTTGTCCTTGATCTTTCCCGGTTACATTTATCAAGCCGATCCCTTGACTCCCGGCCATTGCGTTCACGATGTCACAATTCCTAACATTCGGAACATTCGGCGTTGTCGAAGTGGATTATGAGCAAAAGAAAATTCATGGCTGTTCTTATACGCTTTGTATATGTCCCGATAGATGTTGCTGATATGAAAAGATAAATATACGCCATGGCGCATGTCACACGGCAGGGCAAATAACTGCGTGAATCGTCAAACGAAAATTGACAACGGATCTTTGCCGTTGATATTTGCAGATAAGTTCGCGTAGCGTCGCCACCAATGCCGGCGATCAATACGCCGCTCCCACCGACGTTGGCGTCGGCGTCGTCGGAGGAACCAGAGGCGTCGCTGTGGCCAAAAGGGATACAGGACGGATTGGTCTAAATAGTAGAGCTGGTGGTGGTCGTGGCGGCGACGGTGGTGCTGCTGGTAACGTTGGTGGTAGCGGTAACGGCGACGCTGTTGGATCTACTGGAGGTGGCGTCGGTGGTGGCGCCATTGCCAGAGCAGTGCGAGGTCGGACCTTGCCCAGGACGGGAGGTGCTTGCGTGCGACAGACGGAAAATTGCAGTGCGTTAAGAAGTGCGAAAGTACCGGATAATAAAGGAAGGACGTTCGCTAGGATTGTGGAAAGTGTACCTAGTACCGCTCGAGTCAGTCATATCAAAGAGACGAACTGGCTCGGCTCGAAGAAGAACGGGAACGTGCCAGGTTCCGAAGGGATAGATACGAGGACGAACGGTACCCGGATCGCCGGGAAGAGGAAATGGGAGGTCGATGGGAATACGTACGGCGCGATTAAAGTGCCTTCCAAGGGGATTATCAACCACCAGCAGCAACATCGGCTAACAGAACGAGCTCCAGGACCCACCCCGAATATGGCCAAGGTGTGTGCGTGTTTTTCTTAGACTACCGAAACTCTTCCTGCATCCTACCCTATTTCCCTCACTCGATTTATTACCTCTGATTCTTCCAATTAGCACTCGGACCTTTTCAGCATTCAGTGACATTCGTCAAATACGCTAAATAACAGTGAATCATTCCAACTCGATCCACTTTGATATCCATACGTCCTGCTATACGGTTATGTCCATCCACTCTGACGATCGCAGCGTCGAGCAACATGCACCGGTAATCGATCTACGCGTCCTGCGGCGTCGTGGTTACAGATTTCTCGGTCCTCCTCCTCTGCAACCCCCCGGTGATCTCACGTATCTCCCGTTTGTCATTACTCGCGAGTTATCTTCGGTTATGGATTCAACCGACTACCCTGACTGTGGCAGGTGAAATTCGAGCGTAGAGGTTAGACGGAAGTACGGATCCGTCGCGGTCGTCACTTCGTTTTATCGGCCGTGTCGCTTTTCGAGCGCGACGAAATTTCGAGGCATCCAGTATCGAGCGCTCCCACGAACACAAAAGCGAATCATTCTGTCCTTCTCATTTTCAATTCTCATTCCCGTACTTCAACGATCCATCGACCCGCTTCTCGACGACGTAACGTCGTCGTCTGCTGTTTCCATAAGAGAACGAATTCACACTGCGACGAAATCCGGAAAATCACAGCCGGACATTAGTCCCGATGACGTCACAGTGTGCGATCTCGATGTGAAAACTCTTGTTAATGCGAATGAAAAATATTCTGTTCCAATTCCACCTTCTCTTCTCATTTACAATTAGAAACGCTCTTGCGCTTCCGTCGGGCTGTGCGGATCTACGTGTACGTACGCGTATTCTCGGAGAATCGTAACAGTGTGCGTGCCGGCGAGCCAGTGTGTGCGCGACTTTGCGATTGGGGTGGTAGGGCGACAAGGGGGGCGGGAGGAGGAGGTTTTGTGATCGATAAGCGCATCTCTGTATGTACAGCCAGTGCTAACAGTCCTGAAAACCTTCTGTATTGTTTAGTAAAACGTGTGAACGGCCTTTAGTACTGTGGCCTGTATTCACGTTGGCTTTACGCGTAATGTCTAAAGATGTCGCGCTATGGCTCTCTGCACTGTCGCCAATGAAAATATGCATCTATTCCAATCGCGCGATAGGAGGAAGGGAGCAAACGCGGCCAAACGGTCGTCGAAGACGAACCCGAGGACAACGGGAACGCGAGCCGCGTGCAAAATTTCCTACGAGTTTCAATTCTATCTGGTTTGTTTCGACTCTGCGTGCCATTAGGCTCTTGGCGTCCCTCGGGGCGCCTCAGCTATGCTACGATGCGTAGCGTCGCGATGTCAACCTAAAAAACAATTCTCCTACTCCTCTCGGCGTCTCCCGTTTCTTCTCCAGTATCAAAAGCGACATAACCTGTCTTGAAATCGTCGTGAAATCTACTCAGGATTTAGTACAGCCTCAAGTCATGGAAAACGTAGTAGCGACCTATCAAGTCTGGCTGACCTATCCCGCCGCTCCCCGTATGTGATATTCATGAGAGCTGACGTAACTCACAATACGCGTAGCCTCGAGAGATCGAACGATCTACGAATATTCTTATTTCCTAGTTATTTTTTTTGTTACTACGTAAGAGCCGCCTTCCCCTCCTGGTACCACCCCTTCCTTCACTCCCACTCAGCGACCCTCGTTCTCACGCACTTTCTCTTAACGTATTTTCGAGCGTTTCTCGATAAATTCGCAGTGACAATAACTTTGAGCCACGTGCAACCTCAGGGAGGAGAAAGCAGAGAAAATATAGTCTAAAGATAGTACAAGGACTTTTGACAGACCTTTTGGATCGTTACGTCGTAAATTTTTGTGTTGCTGTTTCTCGCTGTTCCCGTGCAGTCGGAAAAGGACGCGGCTCGCGGATTCACGGGCTGTTGAATCTACGTCGGAGGGCCAGTGAATGCGCTGGCACTGGGTACGCGCTAACAGTAGCGCGTCGCGTCATGCGTATTTGAGACGTTACCGGCCCTGCTAGATATTCAGCTTCGACTCGTCCTCACTCGAGCCGACCACATGCACTCCCTGCACTCGTTTAGCTTATTGCCATTCAATGAATGCCACCGACTTTCCCAGTGGCGCCTCTTGCCGACGGGACGTCAAACATGCGAATCCTCGTTTCTCGATTTGTCGTAACGTCGCCGAGCATCGAACCGGCGAGCTGCTCGGTGCCGTTGACCGTGAAACCCGGACTTTCCCGGGATCGATCGATCGCTCGTTCAAGCTTGTTTAACCCTTAAGAAAAGTCCAGTGCTACTTCTTGCTCGTCCACGAGGTTAACTTAGTGCACGAGTAGATGGCGCGGGGGAGCCTACGGTGAGCAACGTACGTTATTATCGAATTAGGACGGATCAGTTATTTTTTTAAATATTCCAGTCGGAACGAACTTGGATCGGTCATAGGAGTCACGAGGGGGGATAGTGAGAAAATTGAGCGAACGTTAAAGTCAGTACAGGCCAGGTGGGCGGGTATCGTGTTAACGCGAATTAAGGCCTAATAAAATAAAATTATGCCGACTTACGCAGCGACGCCCGGCGTCATCGCCGCTTGCAGATAGATCCGGTAATCTTACAGTCTGACCTCCGTTCTTTTCATTGCCGTACTGTTTGCTTCGGGACATTGAGTCAGAATTTTACCTTACCTCATCGGAGTCTAGAACTCTTTTGGATAACGTCATTTCGCCTGGACTGCTCGAACGGTCACACGCGTGTAGGTACGTACCAACTCTTTTGACCCGCATCATGCAGGAACCGCGATACGTGTAGTTCCAGTGGTTGGGGTTTCCGGAAATTGTAATTCTGACTAGAGAAAGCTGCTATCGTCCAGTAACGCTGGAAACCTGCTACTCTCCTTCTCTGGTTTTCTGGTTTCAAAGACTCTATTAGTCGGCCGCGGTACGGAGAAACGAGAAAAGGAAGCAAACGGTGGAGGAGAGAGCGTCGTGATTCACACTAGGAGTTGAGGGTTTTATTTGGAGTTTGGCCAGGGGCAACGCACTTGGATACCCAAAGCCATGGGGAACATGGTGTATTAAGAATTCATGTGATTCTTGAGAATTTTAAATTATGGGAATGACGTGTGTGCTTTTTTTTCAGAACGTAGGGGAAAGCAAGGTACAGTTGGCTGGTGCGGTACGACAATCCTTTCTGCCGAAGCCAAAAGTCTTTGGTCAATCGACGCATTTTGGTGCACGTAAAAACGTCACTTCCGTTGATACATCGATAAATGATGTTGCCATTACCGCCACCTCGACACCTGCTATTGGGCCCACGAAGTCAAATAGTAATGATTTTTTATTTGATTTTTGGTTTTTTGCATCGTTAAATTTGATCTTTTTTTATTCGACATTCAGATACGTTACGGAAGATGCGAAGAGGCGCAGACGGTAGAATCATAAATACCGATGAAAACACATCTCCATGGCCGAGGGATGAGAATATAATTGGAGGATTCTATTATTTAGGGGATCGAACGAAAAATGATGTCACAGCGACGAATTGTCATGATCTGAAGCCACCGCAGCGGTTAGTGCGAATAGAAAGAATTTTATATTGAATTTAATAGAAAAAAATTGCAATCTAACATTTGATATTTTGATTTTCCAGAAAGAATACCGATCCGGTGCAAAGTAACAGGACTTATGCGGAATCTGATTTGCTTGACTTAGAGGCCGATTGCTTTGGACAGAATTCATTGAGCATCCCGAATAGAATTCCTAATGTCTCGCCTAAATCGTCGCTGGCGAACAGTACAGCCATAACAGAAAATTCGAATCTTCTTAATGTAACGTTCAATGGCCAAATTTCCATGATCGAGGGACATGCTACGAAAAATTTGGAAATTCCAGGCGTCCTGGGAAAGGCAGTCACCTCGGAACAAACGACGAAAACGAACGATACGCGTAAAACCGCTGTAAACGATACATTCTTAAGCAAAACGCACGAGGCAACGAAGGAAATATCGCCGAGAAAATCGACCGTCCTAGTGACTAATGTGACCTACGACAGAACCTATGATAAAAATTATGATAAGAAGTACGATAAAACATATGACAAATTGTACGACAGGACCAGGACCCATGATAAGACCTACGACAAGACCTTCGATAGAACACATGACCCGGTAAGGGCCAACGACAAGACTGCGAAGAAATCATTGCCAGACTGTATCCAGTTGCCATGCATTGGGAGCCTAGAAAAGGTGTTACAATCAGCGATAAAACCGAGGGGCCCCATTTTTGCCCTCGACGACACTTTTCTCAATGAGAAACCCAAGAGGAATGAGAGGAGTGCTGATACCAAGTCCGCAGATCGTCTCAGTCTTCTTCTAGAGAGACGAGAGGCTCTCATGGGTGAAAAAGTATCCGTCGAGAACAAGGTGTTCGACCTGGCTAATAAGAATTGCGACTCGAGAAGATTCTCCACTAACGAAAACAGCATCTTGTCTATGAGCGAGATGGACTGCAGTTTTATCAACCCTCAAGATTCCATTCACTCATCCTATTTTAAACGACTTGATCGATCTGACAAAGCCTCCAAGAGTTCTGGTTCTGCGAGTCCGAAGAAGAGCGTGGATCCTCAAGGACAGAAGAACGAGGCGTCGAGACGCGAGACTTATTGTCTGGTAAAACCGTTGAACGACACGGGTGTAAGCCTTATCGATATGATCAGCGACAGTTGTCTTGTGGATACTATTTCTGGTCCGTACAGCTTCTTGGGGTTCAGTGGTATCGAAGAAGAGGATGAGCTGACCCCACCGGCGGCGCCACCGCCTTCCAAGGCGAGTCCAGCTCCGCATTACCTCATGCTTAACAAACAGAATTCATTTGAACACGATGAGAGCCTTGGTATATTGACGCCTGATCAGATGACAGATTTCACAGTCGCCCTCGAGTGCTCCAGGAGTTCGTCTTGCGATAATCTGACAGGTTCAGGAGGATCCAGATTCGCTCTGACGAGAGCATCGGCATCGAGACCTTCGGACTTGCCGACGTCGGCCGACGTCGAGCCTACGGATGGTTCCAGCGAGAGGACGCCGTCTCCGGAGGAATTACCTCTTGACCCTAAACCCGTTGGGTCTGTCGAGTCCAGCGAGCCCGCCATCAGAGGAGTCGTTCCCGTAAGCTTCGTTACGTCGGTTACCAGTATCACTAGCCTCGAAGCTGGTTACCAGGGTGACGGTGAGAATTCACGACCTGCTAGTCGTGGAGCTGATCCGCCGCCTATGGCGCAACCAGCCAACCTGCCTGCACCATGCGCACATGACCCTATGACGGATTCGGACTTCTTCACGGAGAGCGACGCCGACGCCCACGAAGAGATTGTACGGGGCGATCGGAGAGCTCAGGTCATTGATGGTACACTCTTCTGCGCACCGGGTGAACGACGCTGTCCTAGTTTCACCGGAGAGGAAATGGACTCTAGTGGAATATACTCTGATCTGGACAAGCGACAGGATGAACGTCATCCTGAAGAATCTCAAAGTCCAGAAGACAGAACACCGGATTCCATCGACACCGTGTCTCAGAAGAGTCAACCATCCCCTGATAAACCTGATCTTGCCAATAATTCTCCGGTCATTATGGACTGCCTAGAGGTAAATTTTAATATCAAATTATAAAACCTTGTTTCTCCCTTAACGGGTCTTGAAGTTATTGTTCAATGAGACAATCATCATCCTCGTTTCAGGTGCCGCCAAATTCAAGCGCCTGGGATACCTCAGCCGATTCAAATGTCTCTGCAAGTGCCCTTGAGCAGACTGTCATCGAGGTAGCCATGGTGTCCGATACCGCTTCTCCGAAACCCGCTAACAAGTCAGATTCGCTGCCTCTAAAGAAATACAAGATGCCAAAAAGAAACGTCGTGTCAAAGATCAAAGCGATGATTGAGTCTGGACCCAAAGAGGATACCGAGAAGGAAGCAAGACGTCCTCAGAGGTTACCGCGAAAGGGAGGTCGATGGGACGCGGTGATGAGCAAAATAGAAGCTGGTAAAAATGAGCAACGCTCAAGACCTCCAAGGAAGGAAGTCAAGTCAAGGGTTCTGCAAGCCCTGGGCACCTCGTTGTCATCCTCCTCGTCAGCTACAGCAGTAACAGCGACGGCGACTACGTCGAGCAATACAAAATCTCCTGCCACCAGAAGAGGGACCAGTGACGTCAACAATAAAACTAAACGGTAACACTACCAACGTATTTACTTGCATTATTTTCCTTCCGTGTTCCCGAACTTCTGATAAAAATATTTATTGAGACTTTTCATGAATTTCGTTAACAGAAGATTGAGAGTTCGCCAGGACGTGAATTCACCAACCCAGGAAACGTGTCATAGCTCAGTTCAGAGTTCGATGAGCGACCTCAGCAGTGCCCCAACCAAAGACACCTCCAGTGAGTGATTTCAATTTATATCTATTATCCTATCATCCACCCCGAAGAAACACGCTAAATTTACTATTTTAATTATTTATTTATTTGCATTTTATCATTTCACTTTATTTATCTATCAATAAAATAATAATACATTATATCACGGCTGCCTATCGTCATTATTATTTTGTCTGTCTTGCATCCTTGTTTATCTCATTCTGCTTCTGCTAAACACTGGGTAGGTACTCAGTGTCAGTATTGCTTAGCTCGCTGTCATTATTTTTAACGCAACACCGTCTGATTATTTAATTAGCTCTTAGAAATTAGTTACGACAACATTACCTTCCCCCGTCGTCCCACCCTGCCCCATCGCTGTATATTTATTATAACGCGACGCCGACGTCGGCGCCAGCGCCGCTCTTTCAATCAAGAAAGATCATCTTGATATTTGATCCCGTCCATCTATTTGACCGTAGCCCTGATATTGGGATAGATTTCGTTAGTTCTATTTCGCGGTTCCATCATCCTCTCGGATCCGCACCCACAGAAAGTCTCTGACTCGCAAATAACCCATGAAATGGATCAATCACAGTTCGCTCATCGATATTTCCAATAATCATTCGCGTACGACGAGCTAGCGCTCTATTTGCGTCGTTCGCGTATTATCGACCGTTATAGCATCTCCGGCATCCGGCTGGTGCGACTGACCAAAGTCAGCGGCGTAGGAAACGTAATCTAGGCGTGGCGCAGGACAGCGTAACGTAGCGTACGTTGCTCTGCTACGTTTTGCTATTCCCTTAAATTATCATTCCTCAGACCGCTTCGTCCCTCCACCTAGGTATGGACCTGCATCTCTATGATCTACCAGAGTCCTCGAATGCCAGAAATCAATTCACCGAAGAAACTGTCATGGCCTACAGCGACGAGTTATCGTTGGATCTCAGGATAAACATTACGCACCATGTTTGTAGGTAGACAATGTCTACCATTCAGGAAGTTTGCGAAATGTTCCTCCAAGTCCGAAGAAAGGACGTAGTAGTAGTGGGGCAAGGGAGGTCTGGGAGAAAGAGAGAATAACGTGGGAGAGTAATAAGATAGGTCGATCCATCCATCCCTCCCTCCGGAGGGGGAAGTACTCTCGTTCGGGTGTGCCCGTCGCAGTGCGGTGACGTATTGGGGTTGGTCGAGGGGGGTAGTAGTCCAGGGTGAGTCATCGGGCGTCGAAAGCTAGTATCGACCGAGGAGTAAGAAGCATGTAGAAGAATGGGACCCTTCGTTCGGCGCCACTGTGTCGATCTGATCCTTCCGCGAGGTCTGTACATACTCTAGGACGGTGAGGAACTCGATCAGCAGTGGGACAGCAGGATATTAGCAGCAGGAATAGCAGCGCTGCTCTCCGAGCACACCGGCACCGGCAGTCGCGATCGGCCGGCGATTCTGAACGGAGCTCAACCCCGTTTGGCCGTGCACAGTCCTCTCGGAAGTGTTCGGGGATTCTCGGTCGGTTTCGTATACATTCGGAGGATGCGCGCAGCGCCTCTCCTGCTCGTTCTTCCAGTCTCGGTAATGCGCGCGATGCATTCAACGCGGCGGGTACGACGTCGCTTCCCCGTTTCCGCTTCACTGTGAGGTTTAGTCTGTCCTACGGGGAATACGGCCGCATACGGCCACGGGCCTCTCAGTCGGCCGCAGCTTCTTCTGCCTGCTGCGGAGCCTCGAAGCGGCAGGTCAACGGCACCCACGGTTTATTTCCGGCATTGCCTGCCTCTTTGCCTCTGGTTCGCTCAGTTCGTCGGTTCGTACGTACCGGTGGTTCGCTCGGCGGTGACCCAATGGGAATTGGCCTTAAGACGATAGCGCTGTAAGAAGGCTATCAGGATTCTAGACGAGGCTGTTGCTACGGCCGAGCAGGGTGTGATATGTCTGTGATGATCGTGATGAAGTCAGGGGCGGCAGGTGTACCAGGTTACCACGTGGTTCGGTATCCATCAAGGCCGACTGGCACACATCGATTCTCAGTCGAGTTGCTCGCACTTACGTAACTCCAGCGCGTGCACGATCGCTCGATAGCAGCTGACGGGGGCTGCCTGGTGAAAGATAGAAAGACAAACACCTTCGCGCGTTCGCCTTCGCTCTTTTGTTCTCAGCTGGAATCGTCGATGTTCTCCTCGTAACGTTCAATCCCTTCTTCGTACACGAGACTCTGGACTCGATTATTATCGTAGACTCGTCTCGTCTCTCTCTCTCTACCTCGCCTGCCTGGTTACCTGCGCGTATACTCGCCTTCATGGACCTGCCTTTGTGCCTACATACCCACGCTGCAATCGGTCGGCTTAATGGACAAAGCAAATACAGTTCCACCGGGTTTAACCAGGCACAGGCCGGGTATAACGGAACGTACGAGCTGCTGTTTAGCGACCATTTCACTTTGAAATGCGAAAGTGTCAGGAGGTCCTGACACGATGCTCGGTTCAAGACGGAGTGTAGGATGTATGGATATGCATCAGCTTAGACCAGCGGACTCCTTGGTAAAAGATCATTAGAAGTAACGACTATTATAACCCAGGAGGCAAATAAATGCCAGCCGCTTCTTCAAGAGGAATAATCAGGACGCCCGTCGAAGTATCCAAGTACAACGCTCAACCGTGTTCGCTGAGTCGCGACGACTTTTATTCTATATGCGTGTCTGGATGGTCTGTGGGACTTTTGTTCGACCGTACGTGACTCTTTGATTATTAATTTTTTCAAATTATTCCCTTCGTACGGAACCAAGCCAAGTGCCGTTTTACAGTGTCCAATACACACGTGATATATAATTGCGAGGTAGAGAGTCGTGCAAATTGGGAAAGCATTTTTCGTTTTATAAATTGAGAGTGCCTTCTACGTGGAATCGACGTTTAGTCGCGTGAAAGTCAAATTCGAGGAAACCCAAGTTTGTCTATGTGTTTCGTTATGGGACAACAAGGATCAAAGGAATCGAAGCCTGCCTTCAGGACGGACTTCGTCAGGGATTCTGCTAAGATGCGTCTGGGGAGTTTTAAACGAGGTAGGAGTTACTAGGAACGGATTATGGATATCGGGAAATGTTTGTTTAACATATTTCCATGTTGATTGTTTCTCATAGTACGGCTATTCTGGTATTCTGCCATTCTCTTGTCACTTTTTGCTACTGCTACTGGTACTACTATTACTACTATTTCTACTACTAATGCTACTAGTATTCGAGTCATTATTTTCTAGAACGCGTCCAACGACACACTTTATTCTCTCTGGCGAAAACGCTATGGCCGCCGCAATTCTTGCGTCGACCTCATCCTCCTCGGACTCGCGAGTCACGAGTTACGGAATGACTTCTAACCGCCTAAAAATAGAACACGTCTTTCGGCGCTTATATATTCGGCAATGCATACCCCATGACCCATATTACGTTCTCACCAAACTGACTTCTGCACCCGTTAACTCGATTCGGACCTGAGCGACAAGTCGGCTTGAGAGATGAATGAAAGAAGCAATGACCGGCTATGTCGTTACGTACTTTTTTATTTTTCTTTATTTCTTGCTACTGTTACACGATTCCCAGCTGTGGTACGTTTGCCTTTTTTACAGGATATATGTATTACGTACGGCTGTTTTTCTTACGAGTAGTTTCTTTATTCTGATTCTTTCAATGTTATGACTATCTTCTGGTTGGGTTCGGCAAGGGGGGGCGGCGGCGAGGGGGAAGGTAAACAATAGAGAATACGGTATATACAGCGCAGGACGAGCACATAATGATTCTCTACAGTTGGAAGACTCAATTCCACTTGGTACAATTTCTGGGTCGTCTTACATGAAATTGCAATTGAGGTCCCTTTCGCGAACTCTTCCTTCTCCTTCTCGTCCTCCTCCACCGCGTTCTCCTTTCTCGCTAATTGTAATCACCCTCCACCACTCTCTTTACCGTGTTTAACCTCCCAGACGTCTCAGACTCGCCGCCACCATAGAATTCGTACGCTCTCTGTTTTACCATAAGAGATGGACGTAACCACTGTAGATAATGACTCGTAAAATTTTATTAATTACCAAAATTATTTTTAGGGAGTGTCAAAAAGCGCCTGGGTAGTCCTGGTGGGAGCGAGGGTTCCACGCAGTCGACACCCCGAATTTTTTCACCACGGCAACAGCAACCGCCGTCTTCGTTAACTATAAATACTGCCACTGCTAATTCTGAAGACAATAACAATATCAATACGAGCAACAATAACAATGGTAGCGCACCTTTCAGCGGCGGTCACGTCGGCAACAATAATAATAGCACCAATCATTCGCGAGGATTTTCGCATTCCCGTAAGTATCATGTAATAATTTTCAATAGGAAAATTAACACTAATATATTTTTGAGAAAAGAAGAAATTTTTACAATCATCCTGTTTACGTTTTATTTCTAGAGCGGTCCCCTACGACAGTCACTCCCCCCCGAAGGTTGGTTGGTACTCGCAGCACAGCGAATCAACAGGTTCGCTCTGGGCCTACGAGCTCCGAGGCCAAGAAGAATTCCTTGGACGTGTCAAAGGTCAATCTCGGTAAGTCATCCGGCGACACGAAACGGCATAAAACGTTACCCCCTTATACGCGCTCAGTGCGCTTCTTTAATAGGGACACGCTTGGTAACACAAGAAACGGCGCATAATCAAGAGCACTCCTCTTCGTGGGCGATCGAGCGAGAATAAACGGCCATTTCTTATTCGTATACGAATACGAATTTTCAATGAGTCTAAAGATACTCCAGTCCAGAGTTCATCCCGATACCTACCTTCGCTCTGGGCCTTGATCCCAATAAAGGAGTCGCATGAGTCGTAACATTCCAGCGCCAGCGACATTGTAGTCTCTAAACGATCTCCAAGCATTTCTATTTCCCACCTAGTTCACCACATTTTCTCATACGGCTCAAGGTATCGAAATACCGAGTCTTGGACTTCCGGTTACGTAAACTCAATTTCGCATAGGCACACGCATCCGGGTAACGTACGAGAGCCGATGAGATCACTGGTGAGAGCCAGGAAGAAGGGCTGCAGTAGGGATCACGATCGGACAAACAACTGCCAGACACATTCGCTGCCATGAAAGACGCCGGCGGCGAGATTGTCTGCTGCGACGTACCTTGGCTCCGGGGTAGGAGGAACTCGAAAGCGAGATGCGTGCGGAGGAAGTCAGATACGAACGTGACCGTCTAGTAGTTCGCGTCTCTTTTGTAAGGCGCCTGATCTCTCTGTAAATTAAGCGGGCGCTCCTCCTCGCTCTTGTAATTGCTGTCACTGTCCGTCGCAGTCGCCAGTCGGTGCCCAATAACGTCCAGACTCAAGCCGGCCGTTCTTCTTGCAGAAAAGAGTCCTTCGGCCGGAAGAAAACCGGCAGTTCCTAAGAGGCTGCCATTCAACGTCCCACCGAAGTCGCCGCAGCAGCAACAACAACAGAATTCAGGACTGACAAAGGGTAAGTAAAATCAATGTCAATTTCAAATACAGGATTATATCAGACCAACCGAGAATTTACTTTGAAATACAAAAACACAGCAGCAGCCATTGAAATTCAATTGAGAAGAAAGTCGGTGCTTTCACCTAGGACACGTGTTACTCGCAGACCAGGCGAGAAAACGGGTCTGTCAAGTTTCATTAAAGTACTCTTCCCTATTGATCGCCATTACCAATTGCCATTAACCATTGGCCAATCGTCACTCAGCCGTCTGCCAGTCGCCGATCTACGCTCAGCCAGTTCATCGACTGCCCTTCACCAGTCCAACTGTTCCACCGTTGGATCATCGCTGTCCGTTCCAGCACCAGAGGACCAAGTGGCAGCGACCTCGCGTCATGTATTTCAATGAGACGCACGTGCCAAACGTCGTCCGAGCTTCGTTACTTGGATGGAAAACTCGATCGTAGCCGATAAGTCGCGCGACGGCCATATCGGCCCGCCGTATACCATATGTACGCGCGTGTATATCTATAGGACCATATGTACACGTATGAATCGAAGAGGAAGGAAGGCCAACCAGCCAAAGCGCCTCGAGTTTTCCGCTTGACATTCCGCACGACTTTACTCTCAATGGCGAGCCTCGCCAGGTCACACCTCGACACTGACCTTCTTCTTCGTCTCTGACGTTCGATCCTTCCTCTATATATTTATATTCTTCCTTCGATTTCTCAGGCCTCCGATTCGCTCTGCGCCTCGATTCCTTATGCGTCTCCTTGCTCGGCGCTCCTAGTACGTAGATGCGATCGTAACGGTTGGACGATGTAATGTATATCATTAGCGAGTGAACGCGGCTACCAGTCAGGTAGAGTCGCGCCCTCGAAAAGTCGACCGATTCAAAATAAATAAGACGATTTATTCGAAGCACGCCGTCTGGAAATAACTCATCGACAGTGCACGGTTTAGTGGTCAGTCAGCGTGTACGTGGCGCGTTGTGCGTACGTAGTGCTCGTAGTGCTGACGGTGCCTGTACATTGCGGCTCTTTTACTCAGTCATTGGTGCGCACTCCTTGTGACCGTTGGAGAACAGTTTGTCAGGAGCATGTACAGTGTAATCGTGATAAGCTGACGTCGTGGGCTCCTTGAGTATTTTTTATTGCCACATCGTAGTACCTGCCTCATTGCAACTAGTCGCGGGAGCACGCTACGGGGTGGTCAGTTTGTAAGGCTGCGCAGATTTTCGTGGGCGAGCGTGGCTACCGTGGTTGGGTACGATTCTATCGCGAGGTGGGGTGCTCTGCGTCAAGAGCGAAGAGCGAAGAGGCGAAGAGCGAGAAACAAGCAGCCTGTGGCTCGTGCTAATTCAGTCGACGCGCGGACTCGGCCACCGCATCGTCAGCATCTTCGGCATATCGTATATAGGCCTCGAACGTTTCGTTCGAATCGTCTTCGAAAATTCTGTTCGACTTATCGACCATTTGCAAAATTTTGTACGACATGAGAGACGGCAGACGGCAGGGATACGCGAGGGACGCGTTCGGCCAAGGGATCTACTCTCACTCGGGAACGTGGAGCACATCTTGAGACGTCAGCCACTTCGGAATCGTCGATCGTCACTCGTCGATCCTGGATCCTCGATCTTCGATCTATCTCACGTCTCTTCGAGTCACTTTGCGTCTGTAGTTCGCACGGTCCATGTTCCTCGAAAATCAAGGTTCGTCCTTCTCTTTGGAACTTGATTCAATCTTGACTCTAGCCTTGGCTCAGGTTTTCCTCGAGATCGCGATGACCTTGACTCAATGCTTTAGTCGGATAGACGCTTCTGGCTCGCGTTCAGATTCCTCCTGCGGAGTATGAAAATAAATTTCCGCATTCGGCTAGATACGTTTTACGCGGAGACCCGCTGACTAACCCTGCGTTATGGATCTTCTTCTTGGAGGCTTCCTTGGGTACACGTGTCGATAATACGGGATATACTCTTTGTCTCAATTTTATTGGGATTTGACATAAGATGGCGGTAGCGACGGGAAGCAATGGATATACCCCCCGGGGTTCCTTTGGATATTTTTATTCGTATTGGTTTGTGATGAAGAATAGACTTTTGCTTTTACCACGCTCTGATAACGTGTGCCTGGACCTATCCCGAAAAGATGAAAGCACGCGATATTCATGCTAGAAGATGATCCAGAAATATACATAGCATGACTGTACGTTAATGTGTAATGGTACTTGGTGGGCGATTGGCGATGATCATTGGCTGTTGGTGGACGATCATCTCTGGATCAGCCAATAGGCTTTTCCGTTCTGTTACTTTATGGACTTCTAGACAAATAAGCCTTGTATTATTCTCTTTACTAAATCCAAGAAATGGGTATTTTTCTAGATCGTGGCCCAAAGGAGAGCGCTAACTCGGTGGCGAGAGCTCCTCCCGTGGAAACTCGGGATCAGGCCGAACAGACCGAGGAGATCAAGGACCTCAAGGAGACCCAGCTGACCGAGGAAGCCAAGTTAAGATATGAGAGATGCGTCGAAAGAGATGAACTCTCAGTTCAGGCTCTCTGCGTGATTGTCCAGTATCTAGCGCATCAGGTAGACACTTGACGTCATCCGTCTATTATTTCCAACTAGATTTTATTCTGGACGATAACAGCTTCTCACGTCCGTATTTGTTTCTCAGCTGGATGGATTCTCCGCTCCGAATCTGAAGACCGAATGCGAGAGAATGAAGAGCGATTGGCTGATGGCGCGCATGGAGGCTGATCAGTTGAGAGCGAAACATCTTCAGACTGAAGAGAATCTTATTGTTGAGAGGGAGGATCATCAGAGAGCGCTCGACCGATTGCGTACCGATTGTGAGTGGTATATGTTGCTATTGGGACGAGTAACTGGATTTATGGATTGATTGTGGTTAGGTTAACCGTTCTCTTATTTCCTTTGAGCTCTGTGGGAATTCGTTCCACATTATCCGCCCTCTGACTGTTAAACTCGCACGCTCTACTGTGAACACGTATCGCAACGCACAACGAGCCCTAATTGCCCTAATACCGGTGCGAATAGAAAGTACTCTTTAAAGTAGAGCAATTGCTAATTTTACGGAGGGATTCTAATGCGCCACGCAGAGAGAAGCCTTCACGACTCGTACGGTTCGCCGTTGCTGGGTGCATCGCACCAGACATCAGCGGACGCTTCTTATTTCGTATTCATTTTCATCTCGCCTTGTATGAGGCTTAGGAGCCACTTTCTTAGTATAGTTTACTGGTAGAGTCTAACGGTTTTATAAGGAATATATAAAGTCCATTGTCAGACTCAATGCCACTGGGTTGGGAAAATTGAAAGATAGGACGATAAGCTTAAACGGACAGGAAGTTAACTATGCTTTGGTTTTACAGTGGAAGCTCAGCATGCGGAACGCATTGCGGATTTGGAATCGGGACTGGAATCAAGACTTCAGGAGGAGAGGGATAAATTCGAGGCCAGGTTGGTGGAGGCGTTGAAGGAGGCGGCGATGGAACATCAGGCTGAGATCAACAGGATCCGTGTCGAGCATGAAGCGGAACAAGCGCGCAAGGAAGCTGAGACCGATAGGCGATCGGTCGTTCACGACCAGGGTGCTGCACTTAGAGCGGAGGTAGAATCCCTGCGATCAGTACTGGAGCTACGAAGTCAGGAGATCACGAATCTCCGGTCAGAGATCGACGGGTTCAGGCGAGAGGTGGAAGGAAAAGAAGCGTTGGAACAGAAAGTCGAATCCCTGGAGGCGCGATGCGAGGATCTTAAAGCACAAATCCAACGGAAGGAATCATTCGAGAGACAGCTGTCACATGAAAATAAGGTCCTCTTGGAATCGATCCACCAAGTCTCCAAGCAGAACAAGCGTCTCTCACAGCACAGCGAAGAACTCCAGTGGAGGCTACGGCAGAACAACGAAGTCGTCACTGTGCTAGCGAATCAACTTGCTACACCATCTCAGAGACTATCTCGATCACTAGGTCCAGAGCATCTTGAACACACTCACTCGCCAGATGACTCGCCCCCAGCGTCCCCGATGGTCAAGTCGATGGTCGAGAAGAGCGACTCTGTCTCATGGACCTTAGAAATAGAAGAGTCACCGGAAGCAATGGCCTCGAGACTCCTCCGAAGGTCCGGATCAGCCTGTCGTGGGATGAGTCCTGGTGATCCTCGATCGAAACGCCCAAGGCAACCAACATCTTCCTCGTCGTCAAACTCCACTCCAGGCACAGCGACCGTCTCCAGACAAAGTTCCCTCAGACTGACGCCTCAGCGCGCTGTTGTCCTGAGGACTCGATCGAAAAGCGTCTCCGTCGCCGATTCCGTAACAAAGGAAACCTGGGCTCCTATGAGCTTCACCTCTACGCCGTCCTCTGTGGTCCGCAGAAGACCTAGAAGCGACCCCGCCTCCGCGGCCGCGGTCGACGTCGACACTGACGCCGAGACGAATCCTGGACCTAGACCTCAGGAGGCCGGCGGGGAGGCTATGATCTCAGAAGAGACATCAGCATCCAGTAGCGAGGACGAGTCCTCGGCCAGCAGTGACATTCCCCGCCTAGCCATGGAATTTTCATGGAGCGAATCCGAAGGATGAATTTTTCTCTCGGCCCGTAACGTCGATCTACGTTTATATGCGCCTCCGCCTCTCGAATGTTCCAAATATCCAATATATCTAGTAACACCCGCGAAGGGAGACTTTTTTTAAACAAAGATCTCTTTAACTGACAGTCTTTTCGACCTTCTTACCACACTGTCCTCTCACCATTACCGTTTTACGAAACTACCCAAAACCAATCCTGTCTTTGACCCGACTCTCTGACCTGTCTTACAGTTAGCGATTAGAAATGTTGCGAGTAACGTCGCTGAGAATCCAGTATTAAAATCCAGTAACGCGAATTCAATTAAAGTATATCGTTGTCTACTTACAGAACATTATCATGATTAATGTCATTATTATTATTATAAGAATTATATTGCTATTATTATTATTATTATTACTATTACCAACCATTGTGACACTAATTGCGATTCTTACGATCAAGACTATTATTTATTGAAAATAATTATTATTGCGAGTATGATAATTATTACGAAGAAATATAATGTATTCTATATTTACCAAATAAATGTTATCTACATTATGGCGGTTCGAATAAAATGCGTTCAATAATTTATTGACTGTTTTACGTACACTGTGAATTGTTAAAATTGCACCTCTATGATGCTATATCCCGGAAGCGGCTGAGAATTCAGCTTTTTCCTTGAAGTTTGGAGTATTTTTAATTCGGAAACTATAATGGTCCAAATCAAATTACATGAATTTGCATTAATTCGAATTTTAGTCATGATAAGTGGCGTCACCTCTGAGACAACCAATGAACTTTCTACATTTTTTCAGCTGCCCTAGTTTCCATGCCATTAATATCACTGGTTGTCACAGAGATGGCGCCACTTATAGATTCGTAGTCTATTTATCTGCCGTCAACGACTCTGGTGATTTCAGCAGCAGTGGATGGTAGTAGAAATGTATATTATGCAAAGACGGTAATTGTCAAACTTTCATCGAATTATCTCTTTTATTATATGCGCGGACAGTATAATTGTGTGAAGAATAATCGTATTGACGTACCTGAATCGCGAGAGACTATTACGCGATACAATGGCCAGTTTCAACTCGCCATAACGGGTCAAAATGTCGATTAGTGAATAATGACAAAGGAAAATGTAGATGACAGTGAACTTGTCGCATCCATTTATTGAAAAGTTCGCTGCAGTACGCGCGTCGAACAATCTGAACGTTATAATTGAAAAAAAGCAAAGAAAACGAAAGGTTTCGTGTTTGAATTTGAGGTTTCGATTTATCCGTAATGATTGGGGGATCGAGAAGCCCCGAGCAAGTCCTACTATGGCTCAGACAGGCAGCGATTACTCGGCAGATGGTGGTCGTGATTGCAGCTGCGCGAAGCACCGAACACCTGCCGTTTTCTATCTGGATGCTGTTGGGATGCACGAAATCACGATAGTCGTCGTTACCACATTTTTCAGCATGCCTTCGCCTAATATACATAATGCCTCGGGACAAGCATGTAAGAATGCGGGATTTTCGTAATTCGTAATAGGGAAAATTATTGGTAAGCGAAAACTCCAATTCAAACACATAATTAGTTCAATACTTTTTGGCTAGATGTCGCAAAAGTTGATTCTCTAAAGTGGCAAATCTGTGCAAACGGAAACGTGTAGCATCGCGTGTGAGGCATCACGTTCAGGCTGTGTGCTTGACAGGTGTTGGTCGAAATCAGAGGAAATGGACGGCACTGAACCCCTTCGAAACGAGCTAACGAGCCGTCAATTCTGTCTTGCCACATGGCCTCCACGGCCTCCGCGATTGTTCCTTTGGGACGCCAATGAACCTCTTCCACTCTCCTGCTTTTCGATTGACGACTCCTTTTTTACTCAACATTATTCGTATTGTTCGAGAGTGGCCGTAGACCTCAAATTTTCTCACTGAAACGAGAGTTACGTGATTCACGTGAGTACCTGCATATATACTATGTAGTGTGACGTGATTTTTGGATTCATAGTCACAAGGCAACTCCGACTATGGATACAGATAACATTCTCGCTTTCTGGTTCCCGATTTGTTAAGAAATACTCTCGATTTAGTTTAAAGGGACGACTCGAAGGAAAGAATAATAATAATTGGCTATAAGGACCTCGACCAATCAGAATGATTAGTTCTAGAATTTAACTATTGTCAAATTAGGCTGCATCAGTCTGTCTTGGGACACCGATCGGGGTGTCTCGAGCTGTCTCGCGCTTACCGGCTATTTGTTTATAGTTTTTCTATCCGTGTTTCCTATACGGTACAGGAAGTTCTCGCTTTCGTAGTTCTCGCGTTGCTCTCGCTATAACCTGAAAAACCTATAGATTTTCTGCGTGCGTTTCGGAAGTGCAGTGTTGTGCTACAATGCAGTGTCCACTTGAGTGTCCCCTGGATGCAGTTCTCGGCCTTCACGGATCAGCTGAACCAGCTTCGGTGAGTCTCCAAATTTATTAATTGGTGGAGGGATTCCGATTTTACAGCTCCGATTCGTTCCGTCACGTTCTCCGTCATTCGCTCTCTGTATTCCGTAACTTGAAAAAAGAATTGGCTGGCGCCGCCTGGCTTGCAGATGCATAAACAAAGGGTGGACGGCCGAAGGTAACGTAGGATGGTTCTCAAAGATAGTTCGTTCTCGGATTTTTCGCTATCGGTGTCGAGTTAACAAAGAATACGTCACAGTACACACACAAGCCAGTATTAATTTGTGTCGCGACCTAAGCCGGGTTCGACACTTTCGACGTGTCTGACGTGAGAGACTTTGGATAAGAATGCGTGCGTACGTGGAATTAACATCAAAGCGTCGGAGTCACCGTCGACGGGTCGAGAGAGAAAGGCGCTCTCCTTTCATCGGGAATGATTTATGGGAAGCCAGTGAAAGTGTACAAGAGTGAACGAAGGAAAATCGGAACGTGGTGAGTAAAGAAAGCGAGAGAAGAGACACGAAGGAAAAGCTTCGTCGGTAGCGTCCAGTATGGCGTCTGGGTGTTTGTGGGGGATAGGTCGGTGCGTAAATGCGTCAGCATGTGGCAGTGACGTTGGACAGGGACGGAGGGGAGAAGGGAAGTGTGCTAAATTGCAAAGGAACGCTAGTTAATTCCACTCCATTAAACACATTCGTCCGATCGAAACGATCGATGAACGATCGATGATTCCCTCATTCGCCATGTCTTTTTTTCGTACGTCCTGTCATTGCGCATCATTCACTATGGCCCCTTTTCTGTTTTACAATCGAAAATCGTTAGGCTTCCTCGCAAGGGATCCTCAAAGTCACATTGGCCGTGACATTGAAAACGTGCCTTGACGAGACTCAGACTGATTGTATGGTGCAACAGAGTGAGAAGGGAAGTACGAAAGGATCCAAATTGCAGAACCTGTCTCTCTCACCGGCAGATGATTTATCAGTGGCGAGACGTTACGTCGGCTTTCCGTCCGATTTGCGTCCGGGACGTAGACAAAGGCACGCGGAGAAGAGTAGTGGCGGATAAAAAGCAGAAAGGTAATGCCATTTCAGGACAATAACTGTGAATTTAATATGACGCCCCGGGGCGCGTTTAATCATTTCATCAACTCCAGGGGATCCTTGTTCTCCAGCTATCCGCCAGCACCGCCACCATCAGCATCTTTTTCCTGGTGCTACCCTTTGCCCTTTTACCCGTCCCTTGAATTTCTTGCTGAAAAGTCGGGAAACGGACGGCAATTACTTAAAACGGAGCTGTAACGCGCTACCCCTTTTTAATATTCGCATGGAGCTCCATGTATTTCAGAGTTGAAAAAAAGAAACGTCCATGACGCGTTGCTCGGTATTCCTAACGCGGCCTCCACTTCTTCTATGCTGCTTCCAATTATCCATGTAGTTAATGCTGGCGATTTGGTTTTCTAAACCAGCTGGTATGCGGATCGTGGCTGCAGGACCAGGATGCGGATGGAGATAGCAATATTCAAATACAGCACCAGAGGCCAACACTGAAGTGCACGGCAAGCACTCGAACCCGCGGATCGATGAGAGCCACACAATTGTGCTGTAATGAAAGAGCAGAAGTGCGTAAACGTCCCCAGCAGGGCACAGCTAATCTAACGTAGTTCCACGTAACGGCACGTAACGGCACAGTCTACACTTTCTGGTAAGCAAATAAGGTTATTTATATATTGAACTTTTTTTTCTCTCAAACTGTATTACAGTGCAAGACTCAACTCGAGAGGGTATCGATTATTGGATGTAACCTGACGTGGGTATAAAGGACGAATTGGAAGTGAAACGTGCTTGTCCCTCGCGACATCCCTTTGGCCTTTCGGCGAATATTCATCCAGCTGCTTGCATACAAGCTGCTTTTATTATGATTTCGTCAGTCCTTACAAAGAGCAGCGCTACGGTAACACTATTTGCATCTACATTTTTGTTTACCTGGTCCACATATGGATTGGATGCAATTTTATTTAGTTATACGTTTGGTGTACGTGACAGCTATTCTCTAAAATGTTATTTTCAGGAATACAGTCAGGGGTCAAAGTTTTCAAGATCTTTTGACCTCTCCAGTGACAGAGTGCAGGGACAGTTGGTACAGGTGGCATAAATCTCTCGTGCCAATAAAGATCTGGTCTGAAAGGTCTTGGCCGACCATGGAGAGAGACCACTAGTGGCAGCGAGACTCGAGCGATTTTAGTGGCATCGTGGGAGAGAATTCCGGCTCGTTTTAATTGTAATTTTATGCGATGAATTAGACTAAAAGGCTATTTGAGTAGCGGAGGGTTGCTTCGCGATTTCGTTTACACAACGCCTCTTCATGGTTCACCCTTAAAGAGCCACGGATGGCATTACTCTTTCTCTTCCAACCAGGGTATTCTCTTTGAGTGTCCCCAGAGTCAAACGTTCTCAGTCTATGCAATAATTTAATCGAAATTTTTCCTCATTGATATCGCACGACTCTACGTAGTACAAAAATGTTTGAGGCTCTTTGAATATTGTTAAATAATTTTCTTACCTTCGTTCGTCAAACATCTCCCAAGGATAATACTGTGAAATTTTCTTTGTTCAGGGAAAAACCCTTTTTCCCGCAGAAAAACATCGTCCGTTAGCCATTTGAACTTTGATTATTGTTTATGCTATTGTGGCAACGCGCATCGATCAATTTGCCCCTCTGGCTCCGATGATGATGTCCCACGCTTTTCAACGTTCAGGATTTTCACAAGCTTTTCATGCTATCGGTGGATCCGGACTGTTTTATATTTCAATATGGAGATTACGCGCCGACTCACAGGCTGGCAAAATTTTGTATTAGCAAAAAAGCGCAGCGCAGCATCACTCGAATAGGTATGGGTATCGTTTGCCCCCAATGGATTGGCATTGACGTATCCACACTGTTCCACAAGCTCTGGAACTACAGTTCGTGCCAGCCTCTATCAGTCGCAAATATTTAATAGCTCCCTTTCCATGGGGTACGGTTTACAATTTAGCTACATGATGAGATGAGAAGACTCCCCCTCCTGGCGCTTTGGTACCTTTCAATGTATTTCGAACAGCAGCACTTTTACTTCACTTTTATTTGTTCCACATTCACAGGAAGGAAAAAAAAAAACTGATAAAACCTTTGAAATCGCGAGGATTTTTTGTATCAATTTCCCGGCTTTATTCCATATTTGAGTGCATTGTGCTCCTCGAACAATAACTCATCTCGATATTGCTGCCATTGCCAGGCTGGCCCTCGCTCTGCTTCACTCACTTCGCTCCTTTCACCCTCTTCGTCTCTCTTCGGGCTTTACTCTTTGCCCCACCTCTATGTACATCCTGCGCATATCGATACCTATCTCAATAACGTATCTCCTGGCAGCGATTTTACGAGCCGTCCCAATGGCTTTATTTACTCATCTTCACACTGTTCACCATGTTCAGTTTCTCATCATCCTATCTTTATATCAGTACCACTTGGCCAGAAAAATGATACTACAATATTATATTGCCATACTGAAAATCCTCAGCACCATGCTGCACCTTTGTACCTATCAAAGGATATAAAAAATAAACCAGCATCGTTCACAAGAAAGTCGCTTGACCATTCCGCCAATTCATCCATCAGCATCTGCCTTGAAGTCCCAGGCGTCCAAGACAACCGTCAAGGCAAACACTGTAAAATAATAGAACGGCGCAACCGGACACTACGTAGAGGTAGAACCTTTAGAATGACAATGTTTACACCGGTTTGTTTTATTCTCTTGATATTTCTGTCCCCAGCATGTCCCAGCGGTAACGTCAGAGACGTCAAACGTCGAATTGTTCTTCGACGTATTTTCCCAATGCCACCAGCATCTGCAAAACTTCACGTTCATCTCTTGGACAATCAGTCCCAGCATCCACAGTATCCAGTAACATGCATATAGGTATACACCATTTCATCTGAGAGTTATCACTTAGTCTCCTCGACAGCAGGCTTATGGATCTTTTTCGACTCGATCCTCCCTCCCATCTTGCTCCCACGTCAATGTTATTCGCCCAGAGTTGGGTGTCCTCGATAACAACGTGGCTCTACGTCATTTCCATTGTTTCCAGGTTCAAGACGGTTTCGCTGTATATAGTATGGCTGTCAATAGTCGAGGGCTTTGATGTCAGCTGGGAAAAGGATAAGCCTCTAACGAATAGACGCCATTCGTCCGAGGTCGCAAGAAACCAAACGATGAATCTGAAAGTGTGCCGAAGGACGTACCACTGTGCTCTACAGCCATACGTAAGCTCGAGTGTCTGCTCGGCTGCAGCCAGCCAGTCAGCCCTGCAGATAAATAGATAGATAGCCAGATATATCCCTTCTCGCAAGAACTGAATCATATTTTACGTGTAATCCTGGGGAGCAAACAGCCCTTACCAGCCGGCTGGGCTGCCAGTCGGATTTGACGCTCGATCAAATCTGTAAAATGAACGTCAGTTCGAATTCCTTTTTTTTTTTCAAGTTATATCGAAGACCCACATGACATACTACGTCTTTATGTATTCATCCTTGAGGTGGTCGATCTGGCGATACATTTATTATGTTTATCTGGTATAACGGCGTGTGAAGTTTCGAGTGGCGTGAACGAGAGATGCCCAGCGAACCAGAGACTGTACGCACCTTGCCGATGGTACTGGAACCGCCTTGAAACTGATAATGAAGGATGTAGGGTGAACTCGGTGTGTTTGAGAAGCACTAGGAGACCCTCAGGAGTGGTCGGGATCCTACGGGAGTACCCACCGGGTATCTCCCAAGGGAGAAGGACCAGGTCCTGCTCCACTTGCGGCTTCCTAAGAGAAGTGGTAACCCAGGTTACATGCAGAATACCATTTCATTGGTCAACCCCTTGAACGGTTCTCTCTTTATTCTACCTTTAGATTTCTATTTAACCGAAACCTTAAGACTGAATCCTCTTTAACATAATTCACTGTCTCTAGTTTTAGTTTGCTTCTTTATTATTCATCATAATCGAGTCTGGTGGATTTAACGTGACTGCGCGAGCTATCGCTTTGAGCGAGAGAAAGTTTATTTAGGGAGATGCCAGGGGCGTATCTTCTCTCTCTTGTTGCTACCCCTCGCGCTTTCGCAAATCTAGAATCACTTGGCAACTTTGTCAGGGCTCCGGCACACGCTACAACGGAGGTCAGGAAATTTAATTTAAATCATAATCATAACCAGTGTACAGGGAGACCCCGCCGGTTTTCCATGCTGGTAAAGTAAATTTAATTAATAGTACATAGAGAGACAAACTCAATGAGATCACTATCTCATTAGTCGGGACGTTCGAGGGCCAGGGTAAAGTAATGAAATAGGCCGTGTCAGCGGGATTCGTTCAAATATAAACTTATAATTTGTCCCTCTAACGAGGTACATAACCGTTGGGTAAGTAGAAAGGGCGGGGAGGCGAGACGGGAATTGGGAGAGAATGGTGCGCGGCAAAAATGACGAAGCTCAATGATGTAAAAAAAGCTGCCAGCAAATAATCCGAGCCTCCCACTAGCTTAATTCGTTAAGTTCGAAACGTATGACTTTTGGTCGAGGAAAGTAAAAAAAATTATCAGCATCTTCAAAAGTTTCCTGAGATAACGCGTATCGGGTGGCGACCTAGCAGTCGGGATAGGACAAGCTGGGGTGGAGGTGGATGAGAACGGAAGGGTGCCACTCGGCGAAGGAGTGTGACGGGGGGCGAGAGGGGTATGTCAGAGACCAGGAGGGGGTAGTCCGCGAGCAACACCGACGTCCCTCGGGACTTCCTTCTTCCTTGGGGACTTTTTTGGGCTCTGGACGTCCACAGGGAAGTAACCAGCGGGCTTGGAAACGAGTGGATTTCGTGCGTCGTTCCTGGACACTGGCGCACATCGGAGCATGGGCGTCCAGCGGGGGGAAGTAACTTCTGCCGGCTGGTTCCGCGTGCAACGGGCAGAGTGCAGAACTGAACCTAAAATATGAGCCAAGGTTCACGCCCACGATTTGGCGTTGCATAGTAAAGTGCCTAAATAGTCGGAGGGAACATTTGGCTTTTGTTCTCTCTTCGTACTCTTTCTTTCTCCGGAACCCGTGACGCACCGACGCCGCTAGCTATACCTCACGCCTGGGATATTCTATGTTAAAGCAATTAATTGTTGTAATTGGATTTCAATTAGTGGCCGTAAGCGATGGGGGGTGAAAAGCAAAGTGTTTCGTTATATCAGGTTTTTTTCCAAAAAGATGAAAAATAATTTGTGAATCAGGTATAGAAAAAAAAAAAAAAAAAAAAAAAAAAAAAAAGATTCAACCGTAATATCACGAATGCTTATTACGCCAGAATATTTGCGGCCGACAAGATTCTCGAGGGTGGCTCATTGATTTTCGGATTTTCGGATTCCAGGGTGGTTCCTAAAAATATCTCCTGGTAGTTGCTGTCAGCTTCAGAGTTCTCATCGAAGGGTGTCCCGCACTTGATGGATAGACGGACGCCTCTGCGGTGCAATCTTTTTTTTTACCCTGTCCTTCCCCGCCAAATGGCTTAACCGGGAGGGTGAGATTTTTTTCCCCGGGACGTTTTTGCTCCCAACAAAGTAATGGCTATCCTATAAGCAAGCAAGATACGGGGGGAGGGTCCAATACGCACAGAGCCGACAGGGGTGCATAGTGTTAAGCGTCGACGATTTCGCGAGTATCGTCTGTCATTGACGCCGAGGGCTGCTTTATTTGTGCCATGTATGCTGCATGAGGTTGCACGGGGGGGAGCAAGTTTGGAAAGTACGTCCCTCGAAGTACCCAGTTTGATCGATGCATAATAAACGCCTTAGCACCTCCAGGCAAAGTTAGTCGAGTCGAGTGACTGGAAGTATTATGGAATCGCGGGGGAGTCCAGAGAAGGGGAGGGAATGCCGAGCGAGCGAGAGGGGCGCGGAAGAGGTAGTAAGCGGGCAAGGGAGCTCACATTTAATCTGCATACCGGTTGGATAGAAAATAATTCCGTTTCATCTGACTGTGAATTAATAAGGACGGTCCCCGAGGATCGAGTGAGTCAGCGGAAGGCCACGGCTCTCTAAAGAGGAGTCGCTCCCCTCGGAGTAACGATGTGACTCTGAATGACTCGCCAAACAGAAGTTAGCGTCGGGGGTCGTCGGGGGTCGTCGGGGAGGCCGAAGAAGAGAGCGAAGTACACAGCCCGATGTATTACTAACGTATTTGCATTCAATTTCTTCGCAAGGGTCCCTCAAACAGAATGGGTGTCGAAAGGGAGGCTAGAGTCGTCCTGCCTAAACATCCACATGCGACCCGCGCGTCGTGGGAGCCGAAGGATCATCGTTATCGCATCGAAGGATGCAAGAGCCGCGTCCTGCGGCTATTTAACAAAATCAGGAGGAGAGAACGAAATCGATTATCGGGTAGAGTTAAGCGACTGTACTTGGCGTTAAGAAAGTCGATGAAAATCGTACACTCAGGCACCGGCGAAGGGAGCAGCCGCAAGCACGTAAGCGGCGAACCCCCCATTATGCAATTTAATATTTAAACATCTAGTTAAAACAACACGAGTCTTTGTTTTCGTTGGCGACGTACTGGAGATGCGGTATTTTTTCTTCATAATGTCTCGATCGAGCTGTCGAGGCGTGGAGGCGTCGAGACGTCCGCTTATACGCAATCTCATTTATCATCGTCTCCATAAACTTTCCATAAAGTTTGCGCGACCGTTATGAGAACCAGCCCATACCCTCTCTCTCTCTCTCTCTCTCTCTCTCTCCTTCTCTCTCTCTCCTTCTCTCTCTCCCCCTCACTCTGTCTCCGTCTCTCTGACTCATTTGCTCAATTTTCTCCCATCCTCCAAAGAATCCTTATCCCCGAACGAACGGTGCGTAAATGACCGGTGACGCGCAAATGCAAATTCGCAATGAAATTACGGTCTCGTGGCTCGGCTAAATTTGCTCGTAAATGGCGAGGATTTGCACGAGAGCTCCAAGGAATTACGCTTACGGATATAAGTGGGTTCCGGTGGGCGAGCATCAAGAGGAATTATTGGTGGGAGCGGGTGGGCAAGCGAAGGCTTTGCGAATGAGGTTGCACGCACGCCGGGCGCCCATCCACCTCCTTTCTTCAGCATCGCTCTACATCTCCGGTCGCCCGCCGCTGAGACATTCTCAAAATCGTCAGGGACGAAGGGCGCAAAGCAGGGCCCTGGGCCGCGGTGGACGTAATTCCCACGTAAGTGAAATACCACGTGCTATATAATGGCCAGCACGGCACCTGCTTCTAAGGAATTATAAATTGCTAATGATGTCCTCAGGTCGCATCTGAATTCCGCTCGGCGAGGGTCCCTTTTGACAAATGACTTGAGCAAGATGAGCCAGCCTCTCCCGGAGCCACGTCATCGTCCCTGGGGTTACCGAGGGATTTCTTAATAACCTCAACTGTACTTGCCGGAGCCTCGGCGTCTTCAACGTCTCACCTACGGATCCTTCGTGCCGAAGTGTCCTGTTCGCAGAGGAGTTTGAAAAATTTAGACATAGAGACGGCGGCGCGTGCCGTCCTTGCGTAGGGGCGTCGCGACGACCCGCAGTAGCGTCGGCGTTTACGACTAGGACATTCAATAAGCTCGAACAACGAGACTTTGACAAATCGCGGCTAATTGCCGGGCCGGAGAACAGCGCGATTACGGTAGTATTATTGCCCACGGTTCGCGGGATAATGGCGAGGGGCACGCTCGGCTAAAGCGCGATACACAACACGTGCACTGAGCCATAGCCGGCACTGCGAGCACTGCAAGCACCGCAAGCACCGTTTAGTCATCACGAAAGCAAGGCTGCGCTTATTCCCGTAAAGTACAATCCGCGCTATGTATTTATCTTTGGCCTGCGTACACACTGCCGATAGCGCGAACAGCCTAGGCACTTCGATACGTGCTGTGAACTGTGCATTATGCCACCATTACGCTAGTCCCCCGTTTCCTACCTAACAACCGTACTTGGTAGGCGCTGCGGCACTTGGAAATGACGTGTAACTTGGGAATTTAATAATTTAAAAAAATTCCCTTCGTTATCAGGAACCAGCCGTCCCAGCCAAAAAGGAACGTCCTATCGGCAGGAATGGTCCAGCGTAGCGGCGAAGCAATGTGCCGGACACGAGATGAATGCTCGTCCGTGCAAACAGTGCAGTTTTAAAAGCAGCCTGCCAGCCTCCTCTTCTCATTCATTCGGTTCACCCTCGTCCTGGCGTGTCGGACTATTAAATAAAATTCATCGGAGCCGTCCGAGCGTCGCGTCACAGTAGATGAACGAGTCGCTCACATGTCCATTCGACGTTCCACGTGTCCTGGCTGAGG